ATGTGGAGTTCACACGATATCAGGGATTGGCTGAGGGCCCTCCACCAATCAGAATTAAGATACTTAGTAAAATGTACAATAATACGAATAATAATAATAATGATGATGATGATGTCACATTTTTATAGCGCATTTACAACTGCTCAATCTGCTATCAAAGTTAGGGAGAAAATGAGAGTCCAAGTCCAATAGTTAAATACACAAAATCATATGCTGTCTTGAATAAATATATTTGTCTTCAGAAATGACTTAAAAGAGAGTAATGATGGTGCAGATTTGATATTTTCAGAAAGATCGTTCCAGAGTTTATCTGCTGCATAAGAAAAAGAGCGCTGTGCATACAATCATTGCCAAAATACTTGGCACGCTGGCACATTTTGGCTAACACAGAAAATGGCTTTCCTCTGTCGCGCTCTCCTCCTCCCCCCTGTACAATGTTGCCGTCCCCTGAAAGAAAGTTGGTACCCCTGATCAGACTCGCCAACGCTCTGCCAACTTGTAGGAATCCCAACATTGTATGGGGGGAGGGGGTTTAGTCCTAGATAGTGTTTTGCGAAGTACCCTCATTTAATACTAAAATCTGTCAAGCGTGCCAACTAATTATGGCAATGATTGATACGTAGAAGTCTTGATAGTTGGGACGGTCAGCCAAATAGCGATTTGAGGAACGCAATTGACGCCTAGCCTGGTGTTCTGCCATTAGGTTTGATAGATAGGCTGGAGAGAGACCATGTAGTATCTTGTAGTTTAATAGTAAGATCTTTTAGTGAATTGTATTTTCAAAAGGCAGCCAATGCAGATCTTTAAAAACCGGTGTTATGTGGTCGTACTTGCCGTGTGTGTTCCACTAATCAGCCGAGCGAGCTGCAACACTAATCAGCCGAACTGAACTCTTTGAAGTTTTTCAACAGTTCATATTTAGGCAAACCAAACAGCACACCACGTGCGAGATTATCATGTGAGAAAGACAAATGCATATGGATACAACAAAGGAACTTATTCGCGACTAGAACAATGTTTTATTTTATATTTATTATTCGCTCTATCACCCTCGGAACAATAACTCTTCTATTTCATTTTAGTTTATTACTATTCTATTAACGGTTAATGCCTTACTTATTTTTCAAATGTCAGGGCCGTAGCAAGGTCAAAAATATTGGTGGGGGTTCTGGATCTCTAAGCCACGCCCATAGATATTGAAAGACAGCCCACTTGCACCACGACCCTAATCTAACCCTTACCCTCAACAATTTGATGAAATCGAGGTTAATTAGGTGCACCGATGTAGGTTGCACTTAAATGGGTTTATCTAAATCTAGTAGTATTCTGTATTATTAATTTATGAATCAGAAAACGGCCAGCTTCGTAATGTAATGATGTATCTTTTTTCATTAAACTCTATTGCCCCGTGTTATATATGACCTTTTAAATATTAGCCAAAGCAGTTGAACAATTATTGGGGGTAGGGGGGGCGGGGGCCAGAGCCCTCCTAGCCCCTCTCCTTGCCACGATTTTATGTTCACAGCTTTGATTGAACATTTCACCATTAAACTGCATACAAATATACATCTTATATTCAGTTTTAGCCAACCAAACGAACAAAAGAAGTGTTTTGAAATACTATTTAAAGGGGCGCTAAAACGGATAACTCTACTCCATTCTATTCCATCCTACTCCTACTCCCACTCCCACTCCAATTCCAATTCCATTCCATTCCATTCTTTCCTCTCCTCTCCTCTCCTCTTCGTAAAGATAGGCTCAAAGCGAACCAAGTCTTTTCAGTATTCACGGGGCGTACGACTAAGGTTGTATCCTTAGTCCCTTGTTATTTAACCTATTTTTAAATGAGCTCTCAATGTCATTAGAAAATAGTAATAACACCGATTTTTATATTCTTCCAAATGGTCAAAAACTCACCTCCCTTTTATATGCTGACGATCTTGTTCTTTTATC